GCGAATACACTCTCCTGCATCGTAGGTGACCTCCAAGGTTTCAGAGAATACAGCATTCAAAACATTTGAATTTTAATATTTGAATATATGTATGCCTCATGCGTCTTATTCAACCAACATTGATCATTTCTTATATTGTTTCTAGTTTAGTAACGAATGTATAACGGCGAAAATATTTACATTTGTGAATAAATGCGACTAAGATCACAATGTCAAATTTCTCCCGGATACATAGAAGATCTACGCCAAGTACATGTGATATAAACAGATTCAAAGATACCTACATTGCCGGTTCTTTTACGAACTTTTGAATATACGGTTCTAGTTCAATTGGTGACAGCGTATGAAGGAGCAGAAATCAAGTTAAATTGTTCGTTGTCTTGGGCCGTCGTCAGACTGTCTATTTCTTCTGATCAGAATAATATCAATGCTGATCATTTATTAATTATTTTCACTTCTCGCACTGTCAGTACTGCGATGACGTGCATCTTTCACCATCAATGGTCGTTTTCTCAAGTGCCACCACTAATTAAAATGTATTTCAAGTGCACATGTAAGATTCGAACTGTGTCGTGGATATAGTCCACTGTCACTATTGAATTTATTAATTTGTCATTGAAGTGTTGCTCTGCTTCTTTTCTGTACACTCTTCTAGTATCATTAGCAACGCTTTCACATGCTCTCCTCATCTCATCACAAGTCACACTTTTGAACTGTCGAAACAACCTTTGCTCGTTATAATATTTACAAAGTCATAGAAAGAAATTTCTAATGATTTAAGGAGACTCTTGGTTAATATAGACAGATTGGCAGTGCTGCGTAAGTGGAATCTGGGCTAATACTGACAGATTTGTCATGTCGTCGGTAGGCACAGAAATGATAGATATTTTGAATCATTTCAAAGTTGTCTTTTCACGTTCAGCTTTGATGTTCAGCTCTTGTTAACTGATGGATGTCATTATTAAAAATGAACGATGGTCGTAACAGTAAATTCATGCCCAAATCGCTGATGTTTTAATCATGGTACATTCTTCGCTTTCAATCTCTTACAATATACGGTTCTAGCTTAATTATAATTTACTGGTAAAGTATAATACAGAACGTGACGACAGCTTATAAAGGCGAATGATTCTATTGTGCCTATCGGAAATCTCGTTCAATAAATTGTTCGTTGTTTTGGGCCGTCGTCAGACTGTCTATATATTAGGATCATAATGATATCAATACTCCCGCACCGATCGTAACAATAAAATCATGCCCACATTGCTCAGGTTTTAATCGTGGTACATTCTTCGCTTCCAATTACTATGTAAGTTGCCGCAGAATGGACAATTAGAGTATAATACCTATGGGTGATTTGTTGCAATATCAGCCCCAATATTTACACCAAATGATATTTATGCAAATCACGTGTGTTAATTTAACATATGTATTAATGTATTATGAATTATTGTTTCATATTACATCGGCAAATATGATTGGTTCATTGGAATTTGAGATTGCGATGTCACCTACAGTCACCTCACAATTTATTTTGTGATAATTGTTTGAAATATGATCAATCTGAATGTTTTTACTATATACCGATATTTCCATGCATTCACCAAAATGCGTTTTCGTTTTGACTGCACTCATCCTTGAAAAATTCGCAAGTTCTAATTTTCTCAACCTTACCTTAGCAGCGCAAACAATTCGTTTCCTCACAGAGCCGCCACTTGCTTGCCAATTTACTGTTGCGATGAGTGAAGACCACTGATAGAATTAGCCCCGAATTTAATTAGCAGACGTGTTGCCAATATATCTCTATAGCCGTAAATACATTAATGGTTCCAAAAAAATAAATGATTTGTGTAAACGTAGGCGATAAACTGTCCACAAGGTACGTTTAATGAATGACGTTCTTGTATATATGTAAATACAATAAATAACGATTTTTGATGTTTCCGCTGAGGAAACAGCTGGAAATATAAAAATAAATCTGATATCATGGGTCACTCGTTGAATATCTTCCATAAATTGTGTAATTATATTAATATTTAACTGTTACACCTAATATCATTCGACTATGTGACTACACAATTATGGCTAGCTTAACTATACTTATAATGAATTGATGTAATTCTTTTCAATATTTAATAACATATATTTATATTTAAATAACAGAAGCACTATAATGTACTAATGGCTAGGGTGTATGCCGGCGTCTGCCGTATCTCAAACTGTAAATTGCTCGTTTCAGGGCTAAATGTCTTTTAGGAATGAATAAATGAATGACATTATATTACATCAAAATCGTGAACGTATCGATTTCAATGATAAATATCAAAATATCGAATATTATATTAAAACTTATTAATCGGCATTCAGAGATGACGACAAAGGAGTGGGCTATGATTCACCTAAACACGATGTTCCATTAATTCACAACGTTCAGTTTCTGCAGTGGGCATTGTATGTAACACGATACTAAATGTAGTATTATCACCATGGCAACATAATTCGTATCGACTTATTATATTTGTTTAACTACGTGAAATTACATTGTATGTCGGCCTCTAATGTCATTGCCCAGTTTCCGTTCTTTCCCCTAGTGCGATGGTATTTCACTTCACCCGGGAAGGGAAGGGACAAGGTAACGCCCCTTAAGCTGGCACTACTTGTATCAGCAACGTGTTTGTGAAATGTTATCAGAATGAATTTTCATCAAACCTTTCGGATATCTGAAATATGGGTCCTGTGAGCAAGCTTATGGTGCATAATCAGATTCAATCCTTACACAACATATAATTTCTATATGTACTTGTTATGTACTGTATTAATCAACAAACTTAAACTCTTGTCAAAATACCTGTATTCAATGGTCATAATTATCTGTTGTTTTCAAGTTGTTCATAAAACGAAGATATACTTTTGTGAACTGTTTTTTACCACTTCTTGGCCGATGTTCATAACTCTCACGCTAATGAATGTACTACAGTTTGTTGCAGACGTTATAAATGGTTCTAGAATACTGGAAATCGTCGGTTACAGCATTTCCCTGGCCTGTCTCCTGGTGGCGTTCTTTATATTTTGTTATTTCAGGTAAATATGGAAATGTTACATTTGCATGTGATAATGTGTTTTTTTCAATCATCTGTTTACATCACAGTTGGTTTATTTTGACAGAACTTAAACATATCAAATCTATTTCCGTGACATTTTGCACTGCATGCCGTTATCTGTTACGTGCTGTGCCTCAAGCAATGAACCAACTGAGGTTGTGACATTACAATTATTTTATTCAACTCATAAGGGGATTTTTTATAAATCAATAAACAGGGCATTATGTTTAATTTTTAATTGCATATAATCTTTGGATTTTGAGAAGAGTTTTCTAATTGTAACATGTTATTTGACCTGAATATATTTTGTAACTTATGAAGTAAAACCACAGTCTGTAAAAATGCTGTCCAGATGGTGTTAAAGCGGGAGGGTCGTCACCTGCGCACGCGCGGGAATTGAGTCCCAAGCGACGATAACAACACACGCTAAAACGCTTGGATCATGGGTAGACGCTTGTTTAAAAACAATGACACGCTACGGCCATCTGACGCATGCGTATGTGACGACTCCCTCGCTTTAACTATGTAAATTACAGAAGTGTTGGGGCAGCAAATTAGGGAGCACACTTGCCCACCAATAGCAAGCCACTTTTTACTAAACAGACGACCAACAATTCAAATATTACCCATCATTTTCCCACCACCAAATGCTAGTAATTTCTAAAAACAAAATATTTTAAATAAGTTTATGGAGTTTTACTCACCTGGGAAGTATCCAAGTTTGCGTTGGTCACATCTGCTTAGCCAAAACCAAAGTTGGTTAGCAAGTTTGTTAACTTGCTGTCCCAATAAACGTATTGCGAACGGCAAATACATGTCAGTATCTCAGAATTTATCGAGGTCAGATGCGGTGGGAAAATAAAACTCAATACATACACATGGAGAGAAATTGCATTGTGTCATTAAAATGCTTTTCCATGAGTAATTCGATGAGAGGATTTCCGTTTAAAATCAACAGTGTAAACTGCTCATGCGCGAATATTAAAGGATCACCAGCTAAGTATTTGGCATCTTTTTATTTACAAATCATTTCATGTGCACACTTGCTACACAAGAGGTTGTTGTGAGACATGGTTAGCGACTCTAAATAGTAATTATCAAACGACATCCAAATTCATAAAACACTTGTGTTATCCATATTTCAGGAGTCTACAATGCGAAAGAACAACAATACACAAGCAGCTGTTTTTATCTTTATTAATTCGAACGGTTCTAGATATTATATTATATGTAGATAACACGTATAGGATGCAAGAATTCACTACCGGACATAAACCACCGTCTATCGGAAAAGTGGTAGGTTGGATATTGAGATAATATATGTTTCACAGAAATAATATATTCTTGTTTACTTCAATTTGAACTCGATATGTATCATTCCCTTCTCTAAGTCAGCATACAAATCACTTACAGCATATTTCGATCTCTAAGCAACCATTGTGTAGATAGATGGCTAAATCGATAGCAACAAGGACTCGTGAAAATGCCAGCGGTTCCTTTTTCCACTACAAAACTGTGGAAATGCGAATTATCTGTTTGATCGTTAATCTTCAGTTCGGGAACTCGATATTTTAATATAAAAAATCTAAAGCTGACGGCTTCAATGTGAAATGTTACAACAAAGAGACTGTTTTATTTGTGCGTTTCGAAGTGTATAACATTGGCTCTGCATCAAATCAATATATTTTGAACGAAGATGCCTATAGAACGTATTTAATAGAGGGATTGGTGCACAGTCCTGTCATATATTCAAAAATTCAATAAAAGCTCCGTTGACACCCGCTCGCAATACAGAATAGCAGAAGAAAGCTGAGCCTGCCACAATTAGATATTTTGAGGAAAAAAAGGATAGCAACAGAGATTTGTTCAACGGTGCATTGACAGTAATTTCTCTTTCAGAAAGGACTCTGTGAAACGTTTGAGTACTTCAGACAGTACACTCGATTCTGTGTGTTTTCCTGGATGTTCGTCGAAGGTCTATACTTAAACGGGATGATTACAGCAGCTGTTTTTCAAAAGCCCAATTTTAAGCTATATTATTTCATAGGATGGAGTAAGTCATCTATTTGTTTGCATTCTTTGAAACAAACAATGGATTTTATTTGTTCCATATAATCAAAAAAATCCACACAAGACATACTTGTAACGTTATCTATTATTATGCAATTTTATGTTATTTTCTTGTAAAAATATTAGTATTTTCCTTCATCGACATTCACACAAGTATATATATATATATATAAACTACACTTTTGCGAGACTACATATAAAAAGGCGTGTCGGTGTTTTTATGTGCGTTGTTGAAACCACCTCAGGACATTAATATTCATTTGCAAAATATACCAGGCTGTTATTTCTATTGAACTCGTATATAAACTCAATTATGTAAACCTAGTAATCTTAAGTTTGTTATGCTTGTTTTACTGAAACAATCGCTGCGAGGAACATTTCATCATTGACTCGTTTCCATGGAAACATAGAAAACATTCCTTCGTTCAGAGTGATACAGCTTGAAGCCTATATCGCAGGATTTGATGTTGTGATAATGGACCATTAATATAAATCCATTTACCTACTCATTATGTATCATTCATTAATGTTATAAACTTAAATGCGTGATAACCGACAGTCATTATTTTCATTTTGGATCTACGTGTAGTTGAATTGCACTAAATATTTTACGATGTAACAGGCAATAAGGGACGACGTCAAAAGATCGATGTCGGATAAAAAACTTATTTCCTTTAGTTTGGGGGTGGGGGGTTTTGACCTTAAAAAGTTTCCATCCTACAAAAACGATTTTATTTTTTAATGAAGTCAAAAAAATCTTGGAGTATTTGTAGTTCGTTTTTTTCTATCCAATCATGGACAGAAATAACCGAAAAGGGAAAAAACAGAAAAATGGGTTTGGTTCGAATGTAAATCTGTGCGTCAAATGAGGTGCATTTGTAAAATCTTTTTACACCCACCCGACAACCAACTGCTATG